AGCCTTCCCACCTCCAGGGTTCTCCATGGGATGGTTGTGACTGCACGACAGTTCAGTTTCTCTCTTGGCCTACACTCCTTGCCTTCACTCTCCTGAAGGCGCTTCTCAATACATTTCTCACATGCCCTTCTTTTTTATTTTTGAGATGGAGTCTTGCTCTGTTGCCCAGGCTGGAGTGCAGTGGTTCAATCTCGGCTCACTGTAACCTTCACCTCCCAGGTTCAAGTGATTCTCCTGCCTCAGCCTCCAGAGTAGCTGGGTCTACAGGCACACACTACCATGCCTGGCTAATTTTTTGTATTCTTAGATAGTGATGGGGTTTCGCTGTGTTAGCCAGGATGGTCTCCATCTCCTGATCTTGTGATCTGTCCACCTTAGCCTCCCAAAGTGCTGGAATAACAGGTGCCCCCAGCCTCACATGCCCTTCCCTATCCCAGAGTCTATTTCCCAGGGGAAACCTGAGTCCAGGTGCCTTGTTAATAGTCTCTTTCTTTCTACGTATGCACTTCTTTCATTTACTTCCCCAGTGTAACCAGAACAGCTTCTTAACAAGAGAAATCAGGGCATGTCAATCCCTGCTTAAACTCTTCCAGTAACTTTCATTTGTTCTTGGAAGAATATCTCAATCCTTATTATGGCTCCACCTTATGCAATCCTACCCACCGAGTCTGTCTTTTCTCCTTTCTCTCCTTTGCTACTGTACTCCATGCCAATGGCTCTCCTTCTGGTCCAGGAATTCTGAGTTGAGTTTAGTTGACTCCTTGTTTGGCCAGGTCCTGAACTGGATAATCGAGTTCTGCCAAAAGAGTGCCTGCCACAGATTGGCATCCAAAAAGCATTTATGGAGTAAATGAATGTCTAGGAGATTAGAATCTAAGGAGAAGGAGACATTTCATTTCCAGGCCATGGGCCTGGGTCCACAGTACATCACGGAGAAATATCAGAGGGCACAGGGAGGCAACTGAGGCTGCAATTCTTTGGCTTTTTGTCTTTATCTATGAGAGAAGGTAGAATCTGGTGTTTGGTCTTCAGGACTTCATAAGATTTCATGTAATTTTCTCTCATTGGAATTTCTGTTGAAAACTCCTGAAAAAAATCTATAGAGAGGAAATTCAGCCCTATAATGAGACTTTACCCCCATTATGGCACAATATAAATGACTGTAATTCCCTGCAAACGTCATGAGGTTTATTTCATCTGTCTTAGTTCTTTCCTGATTGAGGTACTGGACACTTAAAACAACCTTACCTCTTACTTTCTCCCTGGTTATGGCCTACAAATTCTTAGCATCATTCTAACACAGTTGAATGGGCCCTGGAAGCCTGCCGATCACGTCTCTATAGAATGCTATGTGTGCCATTGTGTCCCCCTAAAATATGCTTAAGTCCTAACCTCCAGTACCTCAGAGTGCAACCATATTGAAGATAGGGTTTTTATAATCAAGTAATCAAGTTAAAATGAGTTCATGAGGGTGAGCCCTGATCCAATGTGACGTGTTCATAAGAAAAGAGGAAATTAGCCAGGAGGAGTGTCTCATGCCTGTACTATGAGAGGCTGAGGCAGGCAGATCACTTGAACCCAGGAGTTCAAGACCAGCCTGGGAAACATAGCAAGACCCCATCTGTACAAAAAATTTTAAAAAAATTATCTGAGTGTGGTGGTGCATGCCTATAGTCTGAGCTACTAGGGAGGATGAGGTGGATCACTTGAGCCTAGGAGGTTGAGGATACAGTGAGCTGTGATTGTGCTATTGCATTCTAGCCTGGGTCCTGTCTCAAATGTAGAAATGTGCATACTGAGACAAGCACACAGGGATAACATCATGAATGTGCAAACAGCCATCTACAAGCTGAAGAGAAAAGCCTGGAATACATCTGTTCCCCATAGCTCACAGATGGGATCAATCCTGCCAACACTTGGTCTTGGACTTTTAGCCTCCAGCACTGTGAGATAAGACATTTCTGATGTTTAAGCCACCCAGTGGTACCTTGTTACAAAAGCCCTAGCAAACTAATGTGTGCAGTCTGTGTCTGAACTCTCTGACACATGAGAGGAACAGATTTGTTCAAGCCATGGAGGATAGTTTCATAAGAATCCCTGTAGATTAGCAGTCCCCAAATTTTTTGGCACCAGGAACCAGTTTTGTGGCTGACAATTTTTCCATGGACAGGGTGTGAGGAGGGGGTACGGTTTCAGGATGATTCAAACTTATTACATATCTTGTGTACTTTATTTCTATTATTATTACATTGTAATATATACAGAAATATTTATGCAACTCACCATAATGTAGAATCAGTGGGAGCCCTGAACTTGTTTTTCTGCAACTAGATGGTCCCATCTGGGGATGATGAGTGATAGTGATAGATCAGCAGGCATTAGATTCCCATCAGGAGCTTGTAACCTAGATCCTTCGCATGCACAGTTCACAATAGGGTTCATGCTTCTATAAGAACCTAATGCCGTTGCTGATCTGACAGAAGGTGTGGCATGGGGGACCCCTGCTGTAGATGACATAATGTTGCAGAGGTGGAGCAAAAACTTTCAAGACTTTTTCCAGACACCCATGGTAGATTTTCTCTAAAGTTTCAGTGGACAGCACTGTGCTGTGCCTGTGCTCTAGCTATGGGCAGGGCTGGCAAAGGCCTCTGGCACAGCAAACCCTGGGCATGCTCTCAGCGATCAAGGCTCTTTCCAAGATCACAGTCACTTAGAATCCTCAGGCTGGTTCTATCAACTCTAAGAAAATGTGGGCCTCGCCTTTCCGGCGCTTGGTGAAGGGTGTCTGGAAGCAAGGCATCTTTGACTAGGCAATTCTTGAATTTAGCTCCTCTATGTGTCAGTCATCCTTCTAGATCTTAGGAGTACAGACTTGAAGAAGGCAGAAAAGCTCCCTATTTTCATAAAGCTTACCTTGTAGGGGTAGCAGATGGGCAAGAAGGCAAAGACAAGTTATGGCCAGGCACAGTGGCTCATGCCTATAATCCCAGTACTTTTGGAGGCCATGGCTAGAGGATCACTTGAGCCCAGGAACTAGTGGCTGCAGTGAGCTATGGTTATGATTATGTCATTGCACTCCAGCTTGGGTGACAGAGTAAGACAAGTCATGATAAGTCCTTTAGGAAGTGACTTGGTCCAGTTAGTGTTTCATCATGGCAAGGAAAAACTGGAAAGAGATAACTGGGGACTTCTTCAAATTTAAATATTATTAAGTCCTTTTTGCTTGGAAAATCTCAGGTAAAATAAATTCACATTTTGCCACCAGATCAAGTGATGGTAGATTTTGACACTTGGCATGAATTCGGCAAATGAAGACAAATTTGCTTAGATCTTGGTGGGTGGTGGCTTTTTCCAGCTTTGCAAACCAAGGTCAAGTGTCCTGAACTTGGAAGATCTCTGACTGGTGTCCACATTGGACCCAGTAATGCTCCCTCACGTCATACAGCTGATTAAAACATGCAGTGGAACTAAAGAACCCACAGAAGCTTCCCTGCTTCCAGGACTGGGACTATTCCAGGGCCCGTCTGAAGGATGCACTCTGCTTCCCACCAGGTTGTGAGCTGCATTCCCGCCACAGGTATGAAGTTGTCTCAGACCGTAATCCACCCATTAAAAAAAAAAAGCCTCCTCTATCTACCTTTTAGCATTAGCCCCTTTCTCATTGGTTGCAAGTCTAAGCTTCTCTGAGGGTAGAGCCTTCTTTAGGCGAAACTATTCCATTTCTAACAACTTCAGCACTTTCAAAAACAGAAAAAAAGAACCCAAAACTGGCCAGGCGAGGTGGCTCAATGCCTGTAATCCTAGCACTTTGGGAGGCAGAGATGGGCAGATCACTTGAAGTCAGAAGTTTGAGACCAGCCTGGCCAATATGGTGAGACACCGTCTTTACTGAAAGTACAAATATTAGCCCAGTGTGGTGGTGCATGCTTGTAGTCCCAGCTACTCAGGAAGCTGAGGCAGGAGGATCTCTTGAACCAGGAGGCAGAGGTTTCAGTGAGCTGAGATCACGCCACTGCACCCCAGCCTGGGTGACAAAGCCGGACTCCATCCCACCCTCCAAAATACCCAAAACAAAGGACAAATATCTATACCTCATATCCCTACATGTTTGTGCAAAGTTTCTGCTTTGAGCTGGATCGGTATAATATTATAAGTGATCCTAACATCATTCCACATTTGCCTCTTTGGCCTCTGGAAAAGAATCCAGTTTTAATTCCAAAACTCCATCATCCTAAATCCCCCAGCATTGGTCCCTAAACACTGTGGGCCCCCACCCCAAGATAGTGCATCATCTCCCCTCCCCCCAATACTCCCACTCCCTTATCCCTCACTGGGTTTCCAGTTGGCATTCTTGCTGGTAGGGTGTCTCCAGGTGGGGTCAAAATCATCTTAATGGACAAAGGTAAAAGCCATTTTAAAAAGAGATGGAGGACATGGTTTCATTTCACTCCCATCCTGTGCCCTATTGAAGAGCGCTTTCTGTTTCTCCGGTGAGAATCAGAGTATTCTAGTAAACCTCCAATATCCTATGAGTGGCCTTATGCTATTTGGGGGTATTCAGTGAAGATTTCAGGTACATACAACGCACTTGTCTGGAAGCCTGTGGAGAAATACAAAACAGAGTTTCTAAGGAATATTTTCTGTTTCCTTTCTGCTCCATTTTAAGTTTCTGCCAACTTCCCCAACTGCTCACGACCTTCGAGAAGGTCAGCCTTTCCCACCGCGTGGAGTGAGTTGGAATACCTACTCGGGAGTTGCATAAAAGTGTTTGAGAAAGGGAAATGCAGAGTTGAGTAAAAGTGTTTCCCAGGAGGGGCAGAGCGGAAAGCAGCAGGTGGCCGGGGCTGGTGGAACCCAGCTCGGGCGCAGAGCGTCTCCGGTGCGGGTATTCGGTGCAGCAGGTCCGCGGGAACCTCGGAGGCACAGAGGTCCCGGGACCGCGGTGATTGACGCGGCTGCATCACGGCCAGGTGAGGGTGGGAGCGGAGGGCTGCGGCGGCGCTCGGGGGAGGGCACAGGCCCGGGAGGCCTCAGCCAAGGGCGCAACTGCGCGCGGCCGCCGCACGCGCGGTGTTGACCTGCGTCCTAGCAACAGGCGGGCGCCGACTGCGGCGGGGCAGGGCGCTGGCTGCAGGTGAGTGCGGCCGGGGGGTGGGGGTCCCCACGCCCAACCCCGCGGGGGCTCTGCAGCCGGCCGCGCGGATGGGGAAACCGAGGCCGCTCTCCGGCCCCACCGCTGCTGCTCTCGCCAGCTCCCCTTTCCCTCCCGAGGGCCGAGGCCCGCCCTCTCCCCCTCTGTCTCCCAGCCTCACTCCTCCCAGCGAGGCCTGGCCTCGGCCCCCGCCCGCGGACCGTCTGCTCCTCGGTCCCCGCGCCCCCCTCTGCATCACCCCCGCACCAGCCCCTCCCGGATCCGCTCTCCACTTCTCCCGCTGCTTCCTGGCCTCTCCTGACCCTGGTTGGTCTTTCTCCTCCGCCCTTGCAGCCCTGCCTCCCGCTCCCAGCGTGGTCTTCCAGGTCCCTTCACACCTCGTCCCCTTAGCGAATTCATCCCTGGAAACCGGGATTCCAGCTCTGACGCCCCCTTCTTGTAATGAGTCTAGTGGGGGCCTAGGCTTAGCTTTGGTTTTACTTACGGCCCTGTTTATGTCAGTTTGAAAGTTCGATTTTTCATAGGTCTTTCTGAGTAACTTCTGTATTCTCAGAAAGCCGAGCATGCGCGGGCTCCCGGTGGATGTTACAACCACATTTGTAGATCTCAGAGCCGAAGACTGCCTTTCCATCGCCCCCTAAAGAATTCGGTTGTGCTTCTGCTTAAGTGTTAACGACATGATTCTGATTCCGGAATGGGTTTCATTTCACTAATGATGCTGGAAGCTTGAAATTGACCCTTAAAAAGAAAAACAATCTATGGCATCTATTGGATAAAGAGAAAAATGAGTGTTAAGTGATTCCCAGTTTATGTAAACATCCCAGTTTATGTAAACACGTAACCAAAAACTTTTTCCCTTTAAATCTTTAAATTTATTTTCTTTATTTCAAAGGCATGTGCTATGTATTTATATGGATTCATTTTAACTATGGTTCTTAAGCCAAAAGAGCTAATGGGAATTGGTAATGGGTAGAAACTGGAGAGCAACTGGTCTTGATTTTTAAGTCTTAGTTTCGAGTCGTACTAACCATTTTTTAACACCATTTATTTATTTATTTATTTATTTTCTAATAACATTGAACTTGCCTTCTGGATTGTCATAGACCACGCTGAGGTTTTCTTAAGCCGACCAACCTTCTTGAATAAAAATCTTGTGCATTGCTACGGTTCACTAGACTTGGAAATACAGTTTGAATAGATTCAAATGTTACGTTTCTGTCAAAATTTATCTTGACGTAAAAAAGAACGATTTTGCATTTCTTAGTTCTGTGTTAAGGGTCCTTCGAGAAGTTACTATATGCTATGTTGACTACCACAGTGTTAGCAGAATCTATGTTAATTTCACATTTTTTTCTTAAAAATGTGCAAGAAGCAATCTTTATAAGATCACCGACACAACTGTTATGTTTAAGATGAAAGACAGAACTGTTCACCTAAGCCTTTCTGTATAAGATAAGCTATTTGCACTTATTTTATACTATTTTACACTTATTTTATACAACATTGGGAAACTTGAGAGTCTCACACATACAAATCAAAATATGTTTATGTGTTTAAATCTAAAGATTTTCTCATCAATTAGCAATAGAAACAAAATGCTGGAATACTAAAACAAATGCCCAGAACAAATTCGTGCACTAACTTCTATATTTTATGTCATGAACTCTTGGGTATATATGTCTGGATCAGTTGTTCTAGACCCTGTCTGATCCAGTGCTTGTTTTCATAACAAATATTTTGTAATGCTGCTTTATTATCCTGAAATCAAGATTATAGACTATAATCCTACATATTTAATGTTTTAAATATCTATAGCGTGCTAACTATAAAACGAAAGAAAATAATTGAAATAAAATATCTGCATGTAAACACTAGAGTATACCACTACACTAGAGTATATAAAGAAGTAGTCAGATTCCCAGCCTTGCGCAGAATGACCGTGAACACAGCAGCCCCAAATGCAGACTGATACAGACATGTCATTGCAACTTAAATTTCTCAAATAACATCGCCATAAATGGTGTCATTTTCCAAAATGCTGAGCTCTTGGTACCATTCCATGTAAAACGAAGTATGTACAACCTTTCTTTCCTTTATGATAGCTACGGTTCTGGGAAATTCAGGGTGTATTAAAACTGTGACAAAACACTTTGCAGTTTTTGCAAAGTGCAGAAAAATTCTAGGCTCAGGTAGTGCTTATCTGAAGTTTTTCACTTACCAGATGCCTGGAAGTTACATCAGAATTCTTCCTTCTGAGGTACTGTCCTGCACAAAAGGATATTTTACATCCTTGGTCCTCAACACTAAAGGCTGGTAATGCCCCCTTTCCTATCATGTTGATAACTAGACATCTCTATAATATTTCTATACTCTTTTATCGGCAGAAGGTACTGACCTTTTGTGATCCAATGATCTCCTGTGATTGAATTTAATAGTTCTAAGATTAAATACAGTACAGAATGTAAAACCTACAAGTCTAATCTTTGTACTTTGAACCTTTGTAATAATGATCGGAGAAAGAAGCTAATTTTATTCTATATTTAACTTTATAGCCATTCTAATATTCTGGAAGAACGACTTTATTGGTAAGAGTTATTACAAAAATGAGAAAACAAACAAGTATAGATTATCTGCAAAAAATGTCTTATAATTTCCTTATAAAGTCAGAATATGTTTTCTAATTGGTTCTTATTTAATGTTACAGACATTGTTATTTTTTAAAAGATCTTCTTTTACAGACTAATTTCTACTTAGCCAATGTGAAATTTGTTTCACTTGAATTTGCTTTAAATTTTACCACTAGACTCTTCTGATAACTAATGTAGATAAAAAGGCTGGAAGAGCCTCACTTATTCCTACCTCTCTTACATTAACTCTTAAGAAGGTTGTGAATTACAGTAAATGTCATTCTGGGCAGGATATATGGGCAGGGAATGTGGTATTTGGATTGTCCAGATATTCTGGTAATAGGATCAATGTGTCCTATATCATTTTTCAGAAAAAAAATTATATTTCTCAGTACTGTTCTTATTCTATTTCTTTTTTAACGGAGAAGGCACTTGGGGAGCCCAAAGCTGTCAGAATCATGTTAATCCGTCATCATTATGATGATGCAGATATTATCACTATAAGATACTCGGGATAAAGTATTCCATTTAATAGTATAATTCTAAGCAATGTATGTCCTGGTTCAAAGGAGGGTTTGTCCCTGAAAATGCTGGCTCCCAGCAGAGCTGTGAACCAAAGCCCTGAATACCAACCTCTTTCACTTCTTTTTTCCACTCTTGGAGTTTTTTCGTTTGGGTTTTATGCCTATCTGTTTGAATCCTCTCTCTTAGGCCCCAGGGAATTAGAAAGAAGTTATTAATTTCAGGGTAGGCAAATATCAGAAAGTTCTTACATACTAGTTAGTTTTACCTAGTGCTGGTTTACTACTTTCTTGAACTGAAGAGCAATTAGATAATCTTAAAGAAATCACTCTTCTAAGATTAATAAGCGGAATGTGAGGTGGGGAGCACGAACGTAAAGTCTTGAAAATGAAAAATGTTTCCAGGGAAAGGTGGATGCTATTGTCTCTTTCTCTCTCTACTCTGATGTAGTGATTGTGCTAAGCAGGTCTGCGCACTGGCAGGTCCCATGGGTTTGGCTCTGGCGAAATTGGCGCAGTGGACCGCTGCTGGACATGGAGCTGGAACCCTGGAAATCACCCCTCTAAATGAAGCGATACTGAAAGAAATTATTACGTTTGTGGAGAGTTTTATCTATAAATATCCACAAGAGGCAAAATTTGTTTTTGTGGAACCACTTGAGTGGAACACAAGTTTGGCACCTTCAGAATTTGAATCAGGTTATGTTGTCAGGTAAGCCAGTTAATTGCTTCTAGTATTTGATATCTTCATTGTAAACATCTTCACCAATTGGTTGTAGGTTTGGGGGCAAGTCACCTAAACTCTTTGAATCTCAGAAGTCCCCTAAACCAGGGATTGTTCACCAGAGACACACAGGTGAAGTCTGAGGAGATTTGGCTTTACCAACATAGTATCTATCTAAGTTTTAAATCTAAAGTTTTTATTAATCAATGAGAGCTTGTTATGTTGCTCAGGTTGGCCTTGAACTCATAGCCTTGCCTCCTCAAGTGCCAGGACAACTGGCCAGAGCCACCGCGGCTCCTGAATCTAAAGTTTTTAAATGAAATTTTAATTTTTAATTTTTGTGGGTAAATTTCTTTTGACATTATCCAGGTAACTACACTGTCAACATTCATTGCTGCTTTCTGCCTGGCCTTTCCACCCATATGCTTGTGTGTGTGTGTGTGTGTGTGTGTGTGTGTGTGTGTGTATGCACTTTTTAGAAATGGAATCTCTCTATGTTGCCCAGGGTGGTCTCAAATACCTGGCCTCAAGTGATCCTCCCGCCTCCCGCCTCAGCCTTCTAAAATGCTAGGATTACAGGCATGAGCCACCACACCGGGTCATCCATATTCTTTCTAATTTTATTTTCATAAGTTTGTGGGGTACTACTGTATTGCCTGCTGGATTCCAGGAGCCATTGCTTTCGTGACCTCTGCTGTAGACAAAAATCTCTTCTGGTATTTAAATTCATCAATTCCTGGGAATAGCAGCAGGAGGTGGGGTGGGGGTGTGATAAAGGATTAATTTTGATTTTGCTCAATATAAGGGAGAGAATTCTTTTTTTTTTTTTAATTTTTTATTGGATTTTAGGTTTTGGGGTACATGAGCAGAGCATGCAAGACAGTTGCATAGGAACACACATGGCAGTGTGCTTTTCTTTCCTTCTCCCCTTCACCCACATTTGGCATTTCTCCCTAGGCTATCCCTCCCCACCTCCCCCTCCCACTGGCCCTCCCCTTTTCCCCCCAATAGACCCCAGTGTTTAGTACTCCCCTTTCTGTGTCCATGTGTTCTCATTTTTCATCACCCGCTTATGAGTGAGAATATGCGGTGTTTCATTTTCTGTTCTTGTGTCAGTTTGCTGAGGGAGAGAATTCTTAAGACTTAGTACTGTCTTCAGATGAGAGCCTTTCAAATCTGAGATGAAAAAAAATTTACTTTTGTCTCAAACAGTGAATCTATCTCATTCAAACATCGCTAATATATATATACATACATATATACACACACATAAATTATATAAACATAAATATAATTGCATAAGAATATATTATTTCATTACACATTAAAATTATACAAGAAACAAGCTAACAAATACACACACACACATATATAGGTACACATGCACACACCCCTATATATATATTTTGCCAACCTTAGTTTATTTTTACACCTTAGGCATTCTATTTTTTACTGCCTTGTTCTTTGGTTTGGATATGAACTGTTAAAGTCCAATCATGTCAAAAGAAGTTCCCTAGCTAGCCAAAGCTTCCTGTAGCTGCTGTTTCCCTTTTCTCCCTTTGGGATTATTTGTGAGAATAAAGTCAGAATTTCATTTTTAGAACTGGAGCAAAACCATTCTTAAACTGCATTTCAGGAGTTCTTTAATTCTTATATTGGTCAGCCTTCTCTCTGAGTTGATTGAAATCTTTTTTCTTTTTCTTCTGGAGACAGAGTCTTGCTCTTTTGCCCAGGCTGGAGTGCAGTGGCATGATCTTGGCTCACTGCAACTTCCGCCTCCCGGGTTCAAGCAATTCTCTTGCCTCAGTTCTTCCATGCCTGGTGAATTTTTTTGTATTTTAGGAAAGATGGGATTTCACCATGTTGCCCAGGCTGGTCTCAAACTCCTGAGCTCAGGCCATCCACCTGCCTTGGCCTCCCAAGATGCTAGGATTACAGGTGTGAGCCACCACACCCAGCCTGAAATCTTATTTTTTTTAATGGTGCATTTTTATTTCTAACTATGCCAGTGGTAACTTTCTCCAGAAGTGCTTGTCATTTCTGTGTCATTCAGCTTTCTTCCTAACCTTTGAAATACGATCTCCTACCTAAATGAATTAAAAACATATTAACTACTTGGCTGATCGAGGTGGCTCACACTTGTAATCCCAGCACTTTGAGAGGCTGAGTGGGCAGATCACCAGAGATCAGGATTTAAAGACCAGCCTGGCCAACATGGTAAAACCCTATCTCTACCAAAAATACAAAAATTAGCCTGGTGTGATGGCGCATGCCTGTAATCCCAGCTACTCTGGAGGTTGAGGCAGGAGAATTGCTTGGTTCTGGGAGGTGGAGGTTGCAGTGAGTGAGATTGTGCCACTGCACTCCAGCCTGGGCGAAAAAGCAAAACTCAATCTCAAAAAAAAATATTAGTTACTATTTTTTACAAAAATGCTTTTAAAGCAGATGATAGAAAAGAATATCATGATTCTAATTGTTTTGCCTCTGTATGAATTTTTGCTCCAAGCACAAACATGACCGCATCTGCCCCCTAATTAGGTGGGCTGTGACACATATGACTCAAATCTTTCACTGTTTCTCCTCTATTCTTGTTCAGATTCTTTTTGCTTTATTTCCATTCTTACATCTCAGCACACATTTATTTATTTATTTATTATTTATTTGAGACAGGGTCTGGTTCTGTTGCCTACACTGGAGTGCAGTGGCATGATCATAGCTGACTGCAGCCTCCACTCCTGGTTTCAATGGATCCTCCCACCTCGGCCCGCCAAGCAGCTAGGACAATAGGCACTATAGGCACATACTACCACACCCGGTCAATTTTTCTATTTTTCATAGAGACACTATCTCACTATCTTTCTCTCACTGGTCTTGTACCCTTGGCCTCAAGAGATCCTTCCACCTTGGTCTTCTGAATTGCTGGTGTTTCAGACCTGAGCCACTGTGCCCAGTTCTGCATGCAGTCTTTATGCACAATGTTCCCTCCTAAGAAGGACACTTTGAAACAATTACTCTTTGATTTTTATACTTTGGTCATGTTTACTATGTAACTTTTCCTTGGGCTAATTTGTCAATCCATTCTTTTTGTGTCTGACCTTCATTGATGATATCTTTGATGTTGGAAGGGTAGAGAGAGGTATTGCTGTTGTAATAGAAGGAAGCCATGCTTGCCTGGCTCTGATGAAAACCAAGATTGCCTTGAAGAAGGCAAAGGGTACAGCTGAGATTTTGGTCATAATGGAAAATACCAGATGCTTTAACATCCAGGTTTTGACTATACCCCTGGTCTACTCCCCAAGCCAAAGAAAGTTCAGTAACCATAGCCAGTCAGGGTGTGCTACATCAACCAGTGATGTCAACCAGAGATATTCTCCATTGCCCAGAGACTGATTATCAAAACAGTCCCCACAACCTCATTCAATCCCCTTTAGACCAAACACACTCTTTTGGCTTCTCTGCTGTTAGTGCACTATTTATACATTTAATGAAAATGGGGAAGCTACTTTCCTTCCAGACAGGATTCAGGTCTGGGCATCCATATGTAAGGCCAAGATTATCCTGAAGGATTTAAGCTTGGAGTCTCCAGATGTGTTTCTACCAAATAGAAATATCCTTAGATATTTTAGAGTAAAGGCAGATGCCTCTCCTTGTGGGTAGACCTCTCAGGCCTCTTATTCCAAAGGAAGTTAAGTTTTATTTACACTGATTCTGCCGAAGTAGATAAGTCACCCTTTTTTGGTTGGTCTCTGCAGACATTGATGGGAATATATTTATATTTGTGGCCTTAGCTCTCATTTGATGTTGTCCATTCCAAATGCACTCTGGGCAACAGTCAATAAAAGTTGATCATCCTTTTTCTGAGTAGGCTAATGAGCATCTGATACTGAAATAGATACTTTAGTCACACACTAGAAAGGTTTTATGTTTCATCAACTGCCTTCTCTACTTTTGTGCTGATTATAGCACTGTCCATGTTACATGATTTGTCTTTTCCTTAGAATTATTCTCAGTGTTTTCATCCTGTGATAACATTTGTCATCATCTCTCCACGCTCAGTTTTGGGGTGGAGCTGGGGGTCAAATAGTTCTACTTTTATTTCATGGAAATCACAGACCTCTTTTTCATTTACTTACTTACTTACTTAAGACTGAATTTCACTCTTGTTGCACAGGCTAGAGTACAATGGGGCAATCTCAACTCACCACAGCCTCTACCTCCCAGGTTCAAGCAATTCTCCTGTCTCAGCCTCCCGAGTAGCTGGGATTACAGGTTTGTGCCACCACGCCAGGCTAATTTTTGGATTTCTAGTAGAGACATCGTTTCTCCACGTTGGTATGTACTGATCTCAAACTCCCAATCTCAGGGGATCTGCCTGCCTTGGCCCCCGAAAGTGCTGGGATTGCAGGTGTGAGCCACTGCACTCAGCCAGGTCTTTTTTTGTTATCATTTACAATTGCTTTTGTTCTTATCAGACAGGGTAAAATTCATAATCTTCCTAAAACAACTCAGAATGAAGCCTAAATCTGTTATAAACTAAGAGCAAATGACACCACTCAATGGCAATACCATCTGTGGCACACAGAACAGAGGTACTTTTAGCCTTTCAAATGTGGCTTGGGAAATTTATAAATTGGATAAGCATCCAGAATCACGTGAAAATGCTATTACCTAATTTTTTTTCCTTCTCTGGTAGAACTACAGTATGTTTTTTGAATCAAATGTGCTATGATGTTGCCATATTTTAGTTTTAAATTCTGACTCCACCACATCTCAGTGATTTATACATTGAGATAAAAATATGTTCTGGAAAGGAAGTCAGGTTGCCTGACCAATAGGGGTCTTCCCCTCAAGAATGCACAATTCACACATAGTTCATACCTTTCCGGACCTTAGTTTTCTGATCAATATCATGAAAGGTGGAATTTACATGATCTCTAAGGTTACATTCAACCTATAAAATAGTATTGTTTTATGAGACAATAATTATTGCATTTTGGTAAAATTTCTAGGTCACAGTAGTAGGATCAGTGCCCTAAGTTTTATTATTAAGCTATTTATTTTTTTGTCCCTGAAAACTGCTAAATAGTTTCTTAACTATGGCCTTATTTTCTATATTACTATTTAGACATGCATTTATTAAGTAATAAGACACTCAATGAGGCCGGGTGTGGTGGCCCACACCAGTAAGCTCAGAACTCTGGGAGGTGGAGATGGGAGACTCACTCGAACCCAGGAGTTCAAGGCTAGCCTGGGCAACATAGCAAGACCTTGTCTCCAAAAAATAAATAGTAAATAACTAAAGAGACAAATAAATAAACAGCCAGGAGTGGCGGCATGTGGCTGTAGTCCCAGCTACTTGGGAGGCTGAGGGAGAAGGATCCCTTGAGCCCAGGAGTTTGAGGCTGCAGAGAGCTATGATTGTGCCACTGTACTCCAGCCTGGGTGACAGAGCAAGAAGATCCTAGCTCTTAAAAAAACAACAAGCAAACAGCAAAACCCACTAAACTCGATATACTGGGGATTAAAGAAAAAAGACATTTTCCTGCTTTCTTGCTTTAGAATATAAACAGAATTTTTAGCTCCTTTCGACAATTCTGGTTTAAAAATCTCTCCATCAGGCCATTGGAGTTTTCAATAGCTTTTTCTTCTGACCTTCATAAGGTGGGTGCAGCGTTTTCTTTCCAAGAGCTCATTCTTTAGGTGTTAGAAACTGTGAGCCTGAAAACTGAAACTTCTTCTTCGAAATCCTGTGTATAGCTGGCCTTTAAAAAAAAAAAAATCTATTTTATTTTTTTGAGATGGGGTCTCACTCTGTCACTCACGTTGGAGTGCAGTAGTGTGATGTCAGCCCACTGCAACCTCCACCTCCTGGGCTCAAGTGATCTTCCCATCTCAGCCTCCCAAGTAGCTGGGACCACAAGCATGTGCCACCATGCCTGGTTAATGTAGCTGGCATTTTATTTATTAATTCTGTTAAGTTACAGGCTTCAACTGGTAGGAGCAATGAAAAAATGTCACCTGTGCCCGTGGGTTTCTCACCAGGAGTTTCGCTCTTTCCAGTTAAGTAGCTTGGTATCTGTGGCATTCGGTCAGCCTATTGCTTAGCCCTCTTTCCATCCACTTAGCATAAGTGGCCAGCCCTTGATGTGAGTAACCTTTAGGTAACAGGCCTTTAAGAAATCTCTTCAGTCCTAAGGACATTATTCCAGAAGCTTATTTTAGAGAAAATATACATTTTGTACACAATGCATGTCATTGGCAAGTCTACATATTTTATTCATTCATTTATTCCACAGATGTTTACTAAATGCCTTCTATGTGCAGTTCCTACCTGAAGTCCTGGAGATAGGGTAGTCCCTATCTGTACCCAGCAGAAGCAGACTGATAAAGTCCCTCTGTGAGCCCTCTTTTGCTGCTGTAACACATTGCCACAAACCTAATGGCTTAACACACACAAATGTATTACCTTATAGTTCTAGAGGTCAGAAGTCTAAAATGAATCTGCAGGGCTAAAAGCAAGGTATTGATAGGGTTGCATTCCTTCTGGAAGCTCAAGGAGAATTTATTCTTTGCTTTTCAAGCTTCTGGAGGCCCCTCCGTTCCTTGGCTCATGACTCACGGCTTATGGCTCCTTGGCTCATGGCCCACATCACTCCCACCACTGCTTCCATCAGCCTATTCCTGTCACTGCTTCCGTTCTTCCTGTCTTTCTAAGAACCCTGGTGATTATGTTTGGCTCCCTCCAGATGCCCAGAATAGTCTCCCCATCTCAGGATCCTTGACTTAATTTCCATGCAGAGTCCCTTTTGCCATGTAAGGTGACATGTTCATAGGTTTTGGGGATTAGGATGTGGCCATTATTCTGTCCCCCATAGTTCCTCTCCTCTTGTTTCTATTCTAGTGAGATCATCAGTAGTAAGTAATGCGGGTCAGTCAGATTTACTTTTTCTGATGAACTAGCAACATTTTACATCTATACATCTAAAAGCACTTCAAAATATGTTAGATTAGGCCAGGCATGATGGCTCAATGCCTGTAATCCCAGCACTTTGGGAGGCTGAAGCGGGTGGATCCCTTGAGCTCAGAAATTCAAGACCTGCCCGGCCAACATGGTGTAGCCCCATATCTACTAAAACTACAAAAATTAGCCAGGTGTGGTGGTGTGTGCCTCTAGTCTCAGCTACTTGGAAAGTTGAGGTGGGAGGATTGCTTGAGCTCAGGAGGCAGAGGTTGCAGTTACCCGAGATTGCACCACTGCACTCTAACCTGGGTGCCAGAGGGAGACCATCTCAAAAAAAAGAAAAAAAAAAGCTAGATCAGGTGTTAAGGTGTCAGCAGTTTCATCAGAGACAGCCTCCTATAATACAAAACCTGGACAGTTTAGTTAACGTTGTAAGTGGTGGAAATCTATAGAAATATTACTTTCATAAAAATATCTTAATATTTTTTAAATGTCAACCTGAAAAAAATCATTAAAATGGATAGAAACGCGAAGCTAGGAGACTCAATAACTTTTGATCAGGAAGCGCCCATTTAGAAAAACTGCCTCTTATCCCAAGGCAGACTAAATAAAGGAGTTTAGAGTGGGAAAGGAATCCACAGAGAGGATCTAGTGTGCCTTGAGTTTACTTTTTTTTCATAGCTTTTTTGTTCATAAACACAGTGTAGCCAAGAAAACCCCTAACCACTAATTACTGTGGTGTAAGAATTTTTATAAATAAAATAACATTAGAAATCCCCAAAGTATAAATGATTTGGCAGAACCAATGATTTTTTAAATGTGCCAGAAATCAACGCGTTTTAGAGAAACAAAACCAAAAACTGTGACTATTCGAGTTAAATTGTGAATCCAAGAAATTGCTAAAAAAAAAAAAAAAAATTCTTCCTTGGATATATCCTACTGGTCACTGTGGTTGCTGGTAAGTTTAAGGATGTAAGAGTTTGAGTGTGGAAGAAAGTGGGAAAATAGATGAGCCACTAACAGATGTATTTGTATTTTCTCTATTTTATAATGAGATATAGGAATAATCTGTCTAAATGTCTTAAATTTAATTTCTCCTGGCCTCCAGGTAGCATGAAGCTTTCAATTTTTTTTTAATTTTTTAGTGAAACAACAGTCAAATCAGAAGAAGTTGATAAAAATGGACAGCCTTTGCTATTTCTCTCTGTACCACAAATTAAAATTAGGAGCTTTGGGCAGCTGTCACGCTTATTATTTATTGCCAAAACTGCGAAGCTGAAGGAAGCACAAGCGTGTGTTGAAGGTGATCTTAGTCCTCCAGTCTGTAATTTGTACTTGTAGAAACAGTCTTGCTGGGGATCTGGGGAAAGGGTGGGAGGGTCATTTGTTAGAGTCTCTTGAAAAAAGTTCTACAATCTACAAAGTAGAAAGTCAAATGTACAACTTCATGAAAACGTTATTAATTTTCCTTGGCTGAAATATTATGCTCCTATCAAATTTCTGCTTTAAAATGAAAAGTCTGCTACATTACCACTAGTAAGTTTCTAGGTTTCTAGTTTTAGCATATGGTTTGAAAGAGAACCTTCTCAGCTTCTGGAAAGCACAGGGGGCTGTAGCCTGTGAGCTCAGTGTCAGGAGAGGAGACAGATGACAAGGGCCGGCTTCTGAATCCACTCTCTCCCTTGGCTTACTGCTCTGATGAATGAAAATCTATTTCCTTTAAAATGAATGTGCACTCTTCCTTTAGCAGAGACAGCCTTTAATAATCTCTCTTTCCACTTTTCTCAGCCGTATTCCGCTGTGGACCTCACAGCCTTCTGTGAATAGTTACAGTCATTCAACACTGTGGCAAATATTTTTCTTCTTCTTAAAGATCTGTGATGTTCGCACTATCATCTAATCATCTAACATGCAATAAATGAATGTGTTTTCCTGCTATAATCATGTTGTAAATGTTTCTTATGAGTAGAAATAGCTATTCATAGGTAATAATGTGTGTTTTTCTTTTTGGAATTATGTGACCAGTGGGTTTCTGGCACATGGTATTTGATTTCTGCCCATTTCTGTATGAGATAGGAAGATGGTCTTTTTTTTTTTTTAAGATCCCAACCTCAGGACTGAAGGGGTTTTTTTATGTCTTGCCTATTATTCCTTATTAGGTGAGAGTATCAAGTCTTGAAGAGTAAAGCTGAATTGAAGAAGATAGTTAATAGATGGATTGTTCATTCAATTCAACTTAATTGATAGACATGATACGTAGATTTCTATATAGCTAAATACTTATCCATTAGCTAAATACTTTTCCTTTGCTGCATTTTGCTGTTTCTGCAAGAATCTTGCCTTAGTTTCAGGTCCATGTTGCGTGGTACATGGCAATTTGGTAGTCAGTTTTATGTCATTCCTCAGAATCCACCAGCTATATCTTTCTGTAAATCTCTGTGATAACAGCCATAAGGCTATTAAGTTGAGATGCTCAATAAATGGTGAATTCTTTGGTATTCTTTGCTCTGCTCTTCTTCCCCCAGTGAAGTCCTTTTCGCAGCCCAAAGGCCGTGGCATATCCCATGGCCACATGGGAAGGTTAATGCCATCACTATACTTTTCTCATGTCATTTCAATCAAGCTTTCTAAATTAGTCTCATAGGCCTTCCTCCCCAAACCCCATCTCAATGTATATATATTTTTTCATCTTTCTCAAATTTTTCTATTCTAAACAAGGACTTTCCCCTTTCTCCTTCATTTTCAATCATATTGGGTTTTGACACTTACCAAATTCTGTTTTCAACATCTCTAGGTTCAACTTTCACATGTATCAGCCTTGATCATGAAGTGGTGTTTGTTTTTCAATATAACTTTAATATATATATATGTATGTATATATATATATGTTGCTAGATGTGTTTTCCAACTCTAAGACCACATGGCATTGTGAATATGCAGCAGTTTGAATAGGTGCGAAAGACTGGTAGTGGGTCTGTAGGCTTAGGAAAGCATGCTATTTTGGAAAGAAAGCCTTTATAAATACCCAGCACTGGTACACACACACACCTACAAACATGCACATATACTTCTATGATGATTCTTCTAAGGAGATAATTATTTCTCTATCTTCAAATAAATTCCTGATATACTAATTGAATGTACATTCTGAACAATGCCCCACAGCCAATGAACAAAGAAATAATGAATGAAGGTGTTGGTCTTTGTGCTATTAGGGAGATATGTAGATATTATAATATAAACTAGAGCATCTCATGAGATAGAAGAAAGTTCCTAAAAGCAATGGAATCTCAGACATAGAGATGAATTCTAATTGGGTGGATTAGAAAAAGCTTGATGAAAGAAACACATTTGAATAGACTTTGAAGGATTGATTAGTCTTAATGTTTGTTGTGCTAGAAGACAAAAGCGTAATGTTTATTTGTCTCCTTTTGTTGTTGTTGTTGTTGTCAGCTAACAGAGACCCCATAGTAAAAATCCTGGGTTCTGATTATAATACAATGAAAGAAGACTCAATTGCATTAAATATTCTTGATAAAATTACCAGAGATGATGATCCTGAACGTGAAATTAAGAAGAAGATTGCTATGCTGCTTAAGCAGTTGGATCGGCACCTCCTCAATCATTCCCTAAAACATATTTCATTGTGAGTCTTTTTTAAAAAGGAACCTCTAGTGGATTGAGCCACGATTGCACCACTGCACTCCAGCCAGGGTGACAGAACAACACTCTATCTCAAAATAGATGGATAAATACATAAAAAATAAATTTAAATTAAAAAATTTAAAAAGAACCTTTAAAAATTAGTTACAGAGTTGCTTTCAGAGTTTTAGAAAAAACACACAAGAAAAATGAAGTATGGAAGTTATTGCTATGGATTTAACTTTACATTTTATTGGAACGAACAATTTTCTTGGAATTAATTTATTCTAGTTCTAAAAATTAGAAGTTGCAGGTAACATTGCTAAAACATTCTGGTGGGGTTTCATGCAATTCTGAAGACATCAGGTGGCCTTATGATTTTCAAAGGCTCTTAAGACTATTATGCAAATTATTATATTATAATGCCAATATCATGTAGAGTTTGTATAGTCCAAAGCATGTTCATTTTTCTAATATTTTTTACTATTAGAATATTATCAGTACAAAATAAAGTGAATATTTAATGGAGTATGTTTAACGTTGCATTCAACATGAATCAATAATGTCCTCATGTGTTGACAGTGCTGCTATAAAATTATAGCACAGCTAAAATTAACTGCAATTTTTTTTTTGAGATGGAGTTTCACTCTTGTTACCCAGGCTGGAGTACAATGGCGTGATCTCGGCTCACCGCAACCTCCGCCTCCTGGGTTCAGGCAATTCTCCTGCCTCAGCCTCCTGAGTAGCTGGGATTACAGGCACGTGCCACCATACCCAGCTGATGTTTTTGTATTTTTAGTAGGGATGGGGTTTCACCATGTTGACCAGGATGGTCTCGATCTCTTGACCTCGTGATCCACCCGCCTCGGCCTCCCAAAGTGCTGGGATTACAGGTGGAGCCACCGCGCCTGGCCCAATTGCAATTTTAATTATAAAAAAAGATATTTATCATGATATAATGAAATGTGTTCATGTTTTTCCTGTAGATTCTGTTTAAAGTATTTAAGCTGACATTTTAAACATTTATTTCAGAGAAATAAGTTTAAATCCCATGACGGTGAAGAAGGATATAGAACTGCTCAAACGTTTCTCAGGAAAAGGAGACCAAACAGTCTTGGAATCTATTGAATATACTTCAGGTTTGATGCTTTCTCAGGCTCATTTTAGGTTATTTACATTTTTATAATTATATTTTCAAAATGCTTTCAATGTCTACATTACAAGAGAGGGTTTAAGAAGGGGAAAACTTAAAATTTCCACAGTATTTATTTTGTGGAAGCCAACACTTTTTACCAAACTCTAGGTTAAAAAACTCTTGTTAATTGCTTGATAATTGGTTTCAGATTATGAATTTTCAAATGGATGTCGAGCCCCACCTTGGAGACAAATTCATGGGGAAATGTGTTATGTGCTGGTGAAACCTCACGATGGTGAGACTTTGTGCGTTACTTGCAGTGCAGGAGGAGTATTTTTAAATGGTGTAAGTAAAATTTTAAAAACTTAACTAAAGCCAGTGGACTTTGGTTGTGAGCTGTAAATGTCTCAAGGGTTGTGTCCCAATGACCACAGAGAATGAATTATCGTTCTGTGGGATAGGAGCTGATTTTTTTGATATATGCCTACTGGGAAAATCCAAAATAGCTTGAGAATGAGCTCTCTTATTCCCCACTGCAGGTCATTAAGCCAATCTGATAAGAAATGAGCTTCCAAGTGACCCATTCCACATTATAAAGGTTTTTAACATAATTACTTCATTGTTCATTACACAGCTACCAAAGGATAGAAAGGACAAAAAAGGAGCATTGAGGTAATACAGATGTCATAACTGCAGCTTGCATCCTAAGAGTTGGAGGGATGAAGGGACAGAGAAGGGCTTATCTAAATGTAGAAGTTTGGAGACAGCTTCCCATGAAGCCAGGATCCATACCTCTGGGGAGGGCCCCCTTCCAGGCTGTGCTGGTCCCCTCAGAGTTCAGACCATCTCCATCAGGTGGGCTCCAGATCTCTGGAGAGTGGGCACTGTTCAGTTAATGCTGGTACCTCAGGAAGAGGATCCTTGTAGAGCTAGCAGAGCTGGGACCCAGACCTTTGAATATGGAGCACTGGATTGCTGATAGTGATATTTCGCAGGGGGTGTGGTGAGCCTGGTTCTGGTACTGTGAAAAAGAAACTAACCTGGAAACTGGAACCAACTGTTTCTACTGGAAGCAACTGCCACTGCAAGGAAGGAAGGGCCGTTGCTGGGGTGACTCTAGCAGGGACGGTGGGCCAGCAGGAAGGAGCAGGTTCCTCCTTCCACTCCCAGCCTTTCAGTCTTCCTTTAGCTGATTCTAATGACAGAGCCTAACCTAGGCTGGCAAAGGAGAAATACAACAATGCAGATTCCCTGCCTGAGTAGCACAAAGTAGAGGCTGGGTGGCTGGGTTTTGAGCTGAGTGATAAACAGCACACAGTATTCTAGGTTAAAACACTTTTAACCTAGGATACACAGAGACTCAAAACAAAGGGATGAAGAAAGATTTACCAACCAAATGGAGAGCAAAAATAAATAAATAAAAAGCAGGAGTTGCAATTCTCGCCTCTGATAAAAAAATTTTAAAGCAACAAAGATATAATGGTAAAAGGATCAATGCAACAAGAAGAGCTAACGATCCTAAATATATAGGCACCCAATACAGGAACACCCAGATACATAAGACCTATAAAGAGACTTAGACTCCCTAGACTCCCACACAATAATAGTGGGAGACTTCAACATCAGTATTAGATAGATCATTGAGACAGAAAATTAGTAAGGATATTCAGGACTTGAACTCAGATCCGGAACAAGTAAACTTAATAAACATTTATAGAATATTTAAATATACAAAATATACATTCTTATCAGTATCACATCACACCTACTCATAGGTTTAAATGAAATATTGATCGGCCATTATTAAGCATAATTATTAGCATAAAAGAGGTTTTCAATACCCATTTTTAGAATAAAACATTCCTGTTCTCTCTCCCTCTTTTTCTTCCTCTGTCTTCCTCTCCTTCATTCCTTTTTCTGTTCTTTCTTTCTTTCTTTAAAAAAAAAAGAAAAACTTTTAGACTCATCCCTATTCACAGAACCAGCTAGAAGGAGCTTAGCTTTCACCTCTGCAACATCCTGCCTTCAGTATCTTCAACATAAATTTGAAACTCAGAAGCAAAATTCTACAAGGAGCACCCAAGTCCTTAATGGGGACCCAGCCATCACAGGGGACTGCTGGGAGGGTTATGACATCTTGGCTTGGGTTGGTACTAAAATGCTGGAGCCTCTTTTCTGATTACCTATAGGCATCTTTCTGACATGCCTTTTGGTACTTTTCTTATTAGCATGACACTGAGCTCATTTCTACAAAGAGGAAGTACAAAAATAAGATTTTGCTTTGATTTGTCATGATATCTTAGAAAAATGAAATCTCTAACTAGGAATAAGAGATAAAAGGAGAAATGATTTTTTTGACCTTCTGGAGGTGGGCAGGGAGTCTTTATTTCTATCAAAGGTTATTATTGATCTATGCACATACAACTTATTTAGCATGGAAATATCTAAGTAAAGTAAATCCCTTTAAGTTAAAAAAAAATGAAAGATAAGGACCATAAAACTACACACTAGTCATATGTATAGAAATGTTTTTGTGTATACAGTTGTATATAACATACTACAGTTACTTATATTTATATAGATACAGTTATGTGATGTGTATACATACATATATTGTGTTCTAGAGGAACAGGAAGAAATGTAGGGAGGAAAAGGAAAATGAAGAAAGGAAAGAGAGGAAGAGAGAGGGAGACACATGGGTGTATGGACAGATCATTACATAGAGATCTAGAAAAGAAGCCTATAGCAACCATGCGGCAGACAGAACAGAGTGTGACAAACAGGAACATTGGCTTTTTCATGGTGAAATTCTAACCTTGAAGTCTTTTATGACTTCATCAACTAAGGCTCCTGAAGTCATAATGCATGTTCAGAGTAGAGGAGAGTAGAGAGAAGGAAGCTCTCACTCCTCTGCTGAGTAGCAGAGTGCCTTACATGCACATAGGAGGTACTCGGTAAATGCTTGCTGAATGAATAAACAATTCAGTGAATGAAGGAATGAGTGAATGAATGGATAAATAGATAACATTAAATTAAGGAGGAAGGATTTTGCCTACACATTCCATGTATAAAGACTACCATACAGATTCTTCAGGGATGAAACAATGCACGTGCTTAGCTCGTGATATATTATTGGTCAGGTTCTTACAATTGTTCTTATGTTAATCATAGAACTAAACTTATTTTTCCCAAAGGGCAAAACAGATGATGAAGAGGACATTAATTATGAGAGAAAAGGTTCCATTTATAAAGATCTTGTCACATTTTTAAGAGAAAAATCACCACAATTTTTAGAAAACATGTCTAAACAGGTAAGTTTTATGGTTTCTTTTGAGCTTTCATAGCATTATGTTACTAAACTACAACTTTCTATGGTACAAGAAAAACAGGTAATTTTGCCTATTTTTGGATACTTTTTATTATTAGTGGTTTTTAACAACATAATATAAAAATATTATAAATGTACCATTGTTCAGGGTTCAGTGGCATTAATTACATTTGCAATGTTGTGCAAATATCACTATTGTCGATTTCTAAGTCTTTTTCATATCCCCAACTTAAACTACACCCATTAAGCAATAATTCACCATTTCTTCTCCCCCGACTTCCTGGTTAACTCTGATCTTGTGTCTATTTCTATTAGGCTTCTTATTTTAGATATTTCACATCACTGGAGTGGTACAGTATTTGTCCTTTTGTGTCTGGCTTCTTTCAGTTAGCATAGTGTTTCCAAGGCTCATCCATGCTATAGCATGTATGAGAATTTCATTCTTTTTATACTTGAATACTATTTTGTTTATGTATAGACCACATTTGGCTTATGCATTGGGTTGTTCTACCTTTTGGCTATTGTGAATAATGCCGCTATGAATATTGGGGTACAGGTATCTGTTGAGTTCTTATTTTCAATTCTTTTGGGTCTGTTCCTAAAAGTGGGTCGTATGGTCATTCTGTATTTAACTTTTGAGGGAACTGCCAACCTGTTTTCGATGGAGGCCACACCATTTTCATTCCCACCAGCAATATCCAAAGATTCCACTTTCTTCACATCCTTGTTAGCACTTCTTATTTTCTAGACTGTTGTTTAATTACAAACATCATAGCCAGTGTGAAGAGGTAATCCCACGGAGGCTTTGATTTGCATTTCCCTAACATTTAGTGATGTTGACCATATTTTCATGTGTTTGTAGGTTATCTGTTTATCTTCTTTGAGGAAATGTCCATTGGGTCCTTAGCCTATATTTTAAATGGAATCTTTTTGTTGAGTTTTCATTTTTGTATATGCTGGATATTAGCCCCTTATCAGATAGAAGGTTTACAAATGTTTTATCTTATTCTGTGGATGGCCTTTTAACTTTCTTGATAGTGTTCTTTACACACAAACATTTTTAATTTTGATGAAGCCTAATTTACCAATTTTTTTCTTAGGTTGTCTGTGCTTTTATTATCATATTTAAGAAATCATTGCCAAATCCAAGGTCATGAAAATTTGCTTCTTTGTTTTTCTCTAAGGATTGTATAGTTCTCTAAGGATTGTCTTAGCTCTTAAATTTAGGCGTTTGATCTCTTTTGAGTTGATTTTTGTCTGTGGTATAAGATAAGGTTCCAATTTCATTCTTTTGCATGTAGATAGTAAGTTTTCCCAGCACCATTTGTTGAAGAGATTGTTCTTTCTTCATTGGATGGTCTTGGCTTCCTTGTTGAAGATCAATTGATCATAGATGGAAGAGTTTGCTTGGGGACTTTTAATTCTATTCCATTGGTCTATGTGTCTCTCTTTATATCAGTATCACATTGTTTTGATTACTATAGTTATATTAGTTTTGACATCAGGAAGTGGGAATCCTCAAACTTTGTTCTTGTTTTTTAATACTGTTTTGGCTATTTGATATACCTTGACACTCTATATGAATTTTAGGCTTGGTTTTACATTTCTGCAAAAAATACCATTGAGATTTTGATAGAATTTATGAGATTTCATTGAATTTATGAATTGCTTTACATAGTATTGCCATCTTAACCATATGAGGTCCTGTTTCTGAACAGGAAGTATATTTCCATTTATTTGTGTGTTTAACGGCTTTCAGCAATATTTAGTAGTTTTCTGTGTACAGGTTTTTCTCCTTTGTTATATTTACTCATTAATATTTTATTACTTTTGATATTACTATAAATGAAATTGTCTTCTAAATTTCATTTTTGATCATTCACTGGTGGTAAATACAACTTTTTGAGTGTTCAAATCAGATCTAATTTCTGTGTCTTAAAGTTAAGATTGGATTTCACAACTTCACTGAATTCATTTAACTCTGTATATGTGTGTGTGTGTGTGGTGTATTGTTAGGTTTTTCTGCATACAAGATTATGCCATCTGCATACAGAGATAGTTTTACTTCTTCCTTTCCAATTTAGACGATTTTACAATTTCTTTTTCTTGACTAATTACTGAGGCTAGGACTTCCTAGACTATGTTGAATAAGAGTGGTGAAAGCTGGCATACTTTTCTGATTTCTGATCTTTTTCTCTTGAGATGGAGTCTCATTCTGTTACACAGGCTGGAGTGCAGTAGCATGATCTTGAGTCACTGCAACCTTCACCTCTCCTCCCAGGTTCAAGTGATTCTCATGCCTCAGGCTCCTGAGTAGCTGGGATCACAGGCAACTGCTACCATGCCCAGCTAATATTTGGATTTTTAGTAGAGATGGGGTTTCAACATATTGGCCAGGCTGGTCTCGAACTCTTGGCCTCAAATGATATGCCTCCCTTGGCCTCCCAAAGTGCTTGGATTACAGCTCTGAGCCACCATGCCTAGCCTGATTCCTGATCTTAATTGACAAGCTTTTAGGCTTTCACTGTTGATCCTGATTTTAGCTGTGGAATTTTCCTATGTGCCCTTTAGCATGTTGAAGAAGTTTCCTTCTACTCAGTTTTTCTTTTCTTTTCTTTTTTGAGACAGAGGCTTGCTCTTGGGGTGCAGTGGCATGATCTTGGCTCACTGCAACCTCCACCTCCTGGGTTCATGCAATTCTCCTGTCGTAGCCTCCCTAGTAGCTGGGATTCCAAGCATACACCACCACACCTGGTATTTTTAATAGAGATGGGGTTTTGCCATGTTGGCCAAGCTGGTTTCAAATTCCTAACCTCAGGTGATCCACCTGCCTCCCAAAGTGCTGGGATTACAGGTATAAGCTACCATGCCCGGCCCCAGTTTTCCTTTTCTTGGTGCACCCATCATTTGGTAGACCTTCCTGAGAAGAAGATGTACATGGGAGGGAAAAAAAAGGAGGATTTGCATGTTAGAGAATACCTTTATTATTTTCTCACAGTTGTTTCTAGAGAAATGGTTTGAAATTTTTAATTTTTAGTTAGCATTTCAAAGGCTTATGTTTCTATGTGAACTGTTTTGGCTTTTTCCCTTCTTTGGGAGCCTTTAGGATCTTCCTTGGTGTTCTGTAATTTTTGTGGTATAGTTTATGCAGATTTTTGTTTGTTTTTGAGATTCATCCATGCTTTTCCATCTATCATTAATTTATTGCTTTTATGGGTGTATATTATTTTGTTATATGGCTATGCCACAATTTGTTTATCCACTCACCTGTTAATGGATGTAGGGTCATTTCAGGTTTTGGTCTATTAGAAATAAAACTACTAAGAACATTTTTGTACAAGGATTTTTATGATTATATAGTTTCATTATGCCTAGATTAAAAACCTAAGAGTAAAATGGTAAGGTCATATGGTAGTTGTATGTTTAACTTTTTAAGCAACTGGTAAATGGCTCTCCATAGTGGTTGCAATAATATACATTGATGTTGGCAATGTATGAGAGTCCCAGTTCTTCCACATACCCATCATTAACTGGTATTGTCACTCTTTTAACTACAGACATTCTAATAGTTGTATACTAGTATCACATTTGGTTTTAATTTGCATTTTTTGAATGCATCTTTTCATGTGTTTATTTGCCATTCACATATCTTATGTGATAAAGTGTCTATTCAGACTCTTTGTCCATTTTTTTTATTGGGCTATTCAGCTTCTCATTGAGTTGCAACAATCTTTATATAAGTTCTTGGCTTATTTATTCTGTCAGATATTTGATTTATAAATATTTTGTCCCAATCTGGGTCTTGCATTTTAATTCTCCAGTGTCTTTCAAAGAGCAAATGTCTTCAATTTTGATAAAGTTCAACTTAAAAAAAATTTTTTTTCTTAAATTTATTTATTATACTTTAAGTTCTGGGGTACATGTGCAAATCATGCAGGTTTGTTATATAGGTATACACGTGCCATGGTGGTGGTTTGCTGCATCCATCACCTTGTCATCTACATTAGGTATTTCTCCTAATACTATCCTTCCCAAATCCCTGACCCCCCGCTATTCCTCCCCTAGCCCCCTGCCCTCCAGGCCCTGGTGTGTGATGTTCCTCTCCCTGTGTCTGTGTATTCTCATTGTTCAACACCCACTTATGAGTGACAACATGCAGTATTTGGTTTTCTGTTCTTGTGTCAGTTTGCTGAGAATGATGGTTTCTGGTTTCATCCATGTTCCTGCAAAGGACATGAACTCATTGTTTTTTATGGCTACATAGTATTCCATGGTGTATATGTGCCATATTTTCTTTATCCAATCTATCATTGATGGGCATTTGAGTTGGTTCCGAGTCTTTACTATTGTGAACAGTGCCATAGTAAACATATGTGTGCATGTGTCTTTATAATAGAATGATTTATACTCCTTTGAGTATATACCCAAGTAATGGGATTGCTGGGTCAAATGGTATTTCTAGTTCTAGATCCTTGAGAAGTTGCCATACTGCCTTCCACAATGATTGAATTAATTTACACTCCCACCAAACTGTGTAAAAGCATTCCTATTTCTCCACATCCTCTCCAGCATCTGTCATCTCTTGATTTTCTAATGATCACAGCTCTAACTGGCATGAGATGGTATCTCAGTGTGATTTTGATTTCTATTTCTCTAATGACCAATGATGAGCTTTATTTCATGTTTGTTGGCTGCATAAATATCTTCTTTTGAAAAGCGTCTATTCATATCCTTTGCCAACTTTTTGATGGGGTTTATTGTATTTTTCTCGTAAATTTGTTTAAGTTGTCTGTAGATTCTGGATATTAACCCTTTGTTAGATGGGTAGATTGCAAAATTTTTTTCCCATTATGTTCATTGCCGGTTAACTCTATTGATAGTTTCTTTTGCTGTGCAGAAGCTCTTAAGTTTAATTAGATCCCATTTGTCTATTTTGGCTTTTGTTGCCTTTGCTTTTGGTGTTTTAGTTATGAAGTCCTTGTC